GAACACCCCTGAGGCCTATCACTTGGTGGGAATCCGATTCTGCTCTCACTCCACAGCCCCACATCCAGTGAGAAGAAAAACAAGAAGTCACAGCAGTTCCTCGTAAGAGCTGCCTTATTTCCTTTTTCTATCTTAATCTTCTGTCATCATCTCCTGTTTTTTCTTTCATCTGAATGGGTAGTCGATTGTGTTAATTGGCTCTCTGACACACCAATACAGTGATTGTGGTCACTAATAACGCAGTTATTGATTGGCACATTGTTAAACACTAACCTGTGCATCTAACACTGCCCTCTAACGCTATCCTGACAACAAGCTTTTCCCGTTTTCTAGTCTCCTTATCTTGTACATGTTGTTGGTAAAGCAGAGAACTTCTCCTTTCTTCAACAAAAAACCTGTAAATACCATAAAATAATCAAACTAGGTCAAATTAGGTTTAAAAATCAACAAAACCTTCCATCACACCACACGTTTCATTTATGTAAGGGCAAAAAGCTATTTCTTTGAAATATTGATCTCCCTCTTTAGATATATATTTCTGGAGATTACCTTGCCAGACTTAGTAACAGTGACGTTTCAGAAGTTAAGAAAGTTAGGACACTTTCAAAATGTCATATAAGTAAATGAGCTACAGCATCAGATCAGCTTCAGAATCCTACAGTATTCTGCACTAAAAGTTATTGGTAGAATTTTGTTTTATTTCCTGAAAATGAAATGCAAGTTGACAAGACTCTGTCCTTCTCAACATAAGCTGAACATCTGTTTTTATTACTTCTGATTGAAAATCATCTTTTAGAGAAATATCATGGAGCTTGATGAGTCAAAGGCTGATCTCCTAAGTAAGACTGTGAAAACTGGAACTGGGGTCTAAGTACCTCCATGTGAGATTTAATTATCAAAATTAAATATTCAAGGATCAATAGAATCTATTTTAGCTGATCAATAGGTGTTCTGGTCAGAGAAGGACAATGTGCACTCGATACTTGTTTGCATTTCAAAGAATTTTATGTCACGTGACCTCCATTGGAAATCCATACCATTTTGTTAGGCTGTATTTCATATTTAGCTGCTTTATCCCCCTTCACTGACTAATATTGATTTTCTTTGCTTTATTTACTGCCTGCAAACTGCCTTAGGTTTAATGTGTCAAAATGTTTTTTTAGGGAAACCGATATACCATCTGCCTTTCGGTCTAGATATTAATTCCCAGTTCTTTCTCTCACTCACTATAATTGCCTGTTCTCTGTTTCCTTTTTTCTACTCTACTCAATGCTCTTCGCTCAAGTTAGAAATTAAACCCTGTCATCTTCCCACCACGCTGTGCGGATCTCTGCTCATTCAGGTGTGAATCTGCACATTATGCAAATAAATATATTTGGGTTGTCTAGGGAATATCCAAGCTACTTCAAAGATACCCCCCCACCCCACTCAATTCTCCCATGCCTCAATATTACTTGTTCCCACCGGAGTCCTTTGTTTACCCGTACTGGTTCTAATGGCTTGTTTTCCCTGCCACCATTCAGATGTTCAAAAGTACAATTTAAACAAGTTCAAGTTCACACATTAGTGCGTCTCATTTAAGTTTTGATTGCTTAAAACACTGAGTGGAATGTGATTCAGTTTTGTCCAAAATTATTTACTCTGAGTTCTACTTCCGTTTGTCCTCTCATTTCATGTTAAAGTTACCTTATTTTGGTATTCTGTTTTTTTCCCTTTTTTTAAGTTGGGTTTTAGGGAAAATCTACTTACAGTATATGGCAATGTGCATATACAGAAGCATCTCTATTCCTGAATAGGAGCATTTGGTAAGTCTTAATTGCAAATACACTTAAATTGTTTAATTATAGTAAATATATGAATCAGCACTTAATTCCTTTAAAGTCTCAGTCTAGATTTGCTTACTAAGCATAAGCTAGAACCTAAATCTATATTTAAAAACAGGTTCCATTGGCTCAATAGTATTCAAAATATAATATGAAATAAAAACTGAAGGAATTACATGAGTAATTTTAGGTCCCCTTTTTCCTAAAATTGTCAAATTATTCTTCAGTGATGTTTTGATGGCGCAGTAGCAGTTCATGTCACTAAAAAAATAATGACCGTGTTGCAATAAAATCTAAATAAAGATTGAAAAAGTCACAATGATTGAAAAGCCATGTGATTGACAATCAAAATAAATATATACATAAATTTAATCTATTGATAAAATTATGCTAAAGAATTACATAAAGTCAAAAGTAAGGGTGGCACAGTATCCTTCCTGCACTGACATCCAGTTGTAAATTATTTGTGTTTGTCTTTTTTAAATTTCCCTTGAAATCCCTCTTACATTTTTGGAAGGTAATACAGTATATATTCATTAATCTTAAATCTTTATTTTTTTTACACCATGTGATGATTTCTTTCTGAGTTGCAATATTTGTTGTTTGTAAAGTATTTAGGTTATTATTTTGGAAAAAGTATTAAATATTTTTCTTCTCTAGAATATCCGATACAAGGACTGGGTTTCACATTTATTACAGGTAGAAGCCATTAGATAATGCATCGATAGCATAAATCTACAGAATAAATACTAAATCAGGAGTTTTGAATCTAACCCTTTAACTAATATATAATCTTAATTTGTATGTTAAATTTATTGTAATATTAGCAACAAAAAAATGACATGGGCATGACATTTAATCCCACTTAATTCATAACTCAGCAATAATTATTACCATGGATTTAATTTATTTGGTTTTGTATTTTATAATATTTATGTGGACTGAGCAGTGACATCCTTATTTTTTCGATATTTTTTACTGGATATATTAGTATTGCAATTATTTTATTTTATTAAATTTACGAACAGGATAAACTGTGGTAGTACAACCTTGTAGCCTCTCCATCTATCTGAGAGCTACAGCCTCATGTATTGCAAGCCTTTAAGCCAATCCTAAGGGAGAGGGTTTTAACCTTCAGGGACCAGAGGCCTGTATGAAGCACCATCAATGCCATCAAGATACATGGACTTAGCACTGCTTCCCTGTTGGGTAAGGAAAGTTTCGATGATCTGGGTGTTTATGTGTGAAAGGAACAGGTGGGACATCAGTATGGGCTTGTGCCAATCTTCCCTCATGCTGTAAATATGAGAGTTACTTGATACATCATAGCTATGATTAATGGTAAGGACTTGGTTGCAATAACCTAAAGAGTTGAAGAGACACAGTGCTTGTGAATGGAAACAAGTCATTCGCAAAACTATTTACATTTTTCTTCTTGACTCATATGTTATATAGTACAGTGTCTTAATATTATCGGACTTGCTTTATAAATTGCTAATTTTGATGAACACTTTTTTATCGGGTCAGGCTTGTATTATGTGTAGAGAATGTTAAAGGAGTCAGTACCTTTTATTTTACACATATAATTCATCCTATTTATAAATTAATGTTTTATCAATGTAGGACAATAAGAAAATAAAAAGGAGCTAATAACGACAATTTTTTATAAAATTTTTTTCGTTGCAAGGAATGCAGATTTTGGCTTGTGTGTATGCTTGTTTTTTTTGGACGTAGCGTTGGCAACATCAGCAGTTTGCCATGCTTAGTTTAACATCACACTAGTCCCTGGTTGTTGGAATCTCCCCATTTGGTGGGATAGATAAGGGGGTAATATTAACTAGGTGGGTATTGTTAGTATCCTTTGAAGAATGATGTTAATCCTGGACAGGGTCTAAAGTAATGCTTTGTGGGCGCTCTCTTGTAGCCTGGGTGCCATTCCGAACTTAGTCCCGCCCACAACGTTTGAAGTCGGGAAGTTCGGTCTGGCATTGCTCAATAGTAGCGCGAGTATGCTCGCACAATATCTGGCGGGCCAATCAAATTGTCAGGGCGGGCTTTATACGATGATGGACAGATGATCAACAGTAACGTAATCAACGACGTCACCAAAGCGCGCTTGGGTGACAACAACAATGGCTGCCGCTGGAGAGTTGAGGTGAGTAGATTCTGCTATTAGGTCTGTTCTAGAAGATATCAACAGCAAATTAATTTTAAAAGAAGAACAGAGAAACGCGATCAAGGCTCATCTTTTTCTAGGCGTGCAACTGCACGCTTTGATTTTTGTTGACAACAAATATGCGTCGCTTAACATACGCACTCCGTTGCTCTTATTGGTTGTAGGTCTATCCAAATGAGTGCAGAGGCATTTTTTTCCTGGTTCGTTCGAAACGCGCCCCATAATCACAGCTCTATGGAGCAGTATCAGACTCAAATTCTAACTAGAATTGAGTAGGACTACGTCAGGCTAGCTCTCTTGTGGGTTTTTATGGTTTTGTTTGAACAGAGTCCACACATTAAAAAGTTAAAGTCGAAGCTGCTTAAGCAACACTAGAGGATACAGATAAGAAAGATTAGAGCCCAATATCAAGTAATGTAGGTATAATTTAAGTTTTCCATCATAAAGAAAGAGCAACGTAAAAAGGCTAAAATCTAGGTTTACCAGGTTATCTACGTTCCAACCTAACCTACAGTATGGCCATTAGATGTGACTCATGACCGAAAAAAAAAGAACCCCTAATACAGATTGCTTAATTCAGATCTCTGTGTGGGGTGAGTTGACTCAATCTGAGACTATAGGGCAGGGGTATTCAAGAAAACTGTGAGGAGGTCCAGTTCAAAGAAATTTCCTCAAGCAGAGGTCCGCAATATCGTCTATTTGCAGTATGACAACATCGGAATACATGGTGTTAAAAAAAAATAATAATACAGGTTAAAATAATTTCAAAGAAGTTTATTAGCACTGAAACACAGGATAACATTGTGTGGCTGCAGTTTAAATGAAAAATAACTAAATTATGTATTCAAAAATAAAGAAAGTGCTTAAGAAAAAATAGCAGCTTCAGTTTCCTTTTGATTGAACAATCTCAATATTTCTGCTCAACAAAACAACTCTCAAAACACCGGAACTATTTCTCTTACAGATTTCTCTTACATCTGTCTTCCCCCAATGTCCGTTGCTCAGTGTGAGAATTGAGCTTTGGCTTGTCCTGCCAACATTTTAAATCTGGGCTTGAAGGAGGTCAGGGCCATTCTCATGCACATGTGCAGATGCTCATTGGTGAGCTTGGAACGATATTTTGTTTTTATTATGTTCATTGTAGAGAACGCTGCCTCACAGCTGTATGTGGAGCCGAACATGGTCAAGATAAACAGGGCCACTTTTTTCAGATCTGGGAAAGCTGTCTCAGAAACCATCTGGAGCCAGAATGTGGTAGATTCGGTTCTTGCAAACTGCTCTTTCAGGGCCACATTTGCCTGGAGGTCAATCATTTGCATCTGGAGAGGCCCAGTGTTTGCCCACTTGAAGTGATGTGTGACATCATTTGTGAATGCTCTGACATCAGTGATGAGAAATGGATTCTGTATGAAGAGGGTGAGCTCCTCTCCAATGCTGAAGCTATCAAAGCGTTTGCTGAAGTTTTCAATCAACTTGTCAACAAAGTCAACAAAAGAGGAGACATCTCTATGGCCCTGCACCTGTTCTTTCACTTTTGGGAAGTGTGTGTAGTCCCCTTGCAGATCTTCTTTATACACCTGAAGTTTTCGTTGAAATGAGTGGACAGCTGTCATCAGATCACAAATTTAATTGTTCTCTCCCTGCAGCTTCAAATTAAGCCCATTCAGGTGTGACATGATATCAGCCAAAAAAGCTACGATACCCATGTTTTTCTCGTCATTTAGAAAGACAGAAAAGTTAGCGGCTTTCTGACTTTCCAGTTGTTCCAAGAAAGCTGTTACTTCATGTCTAATTGACCAAAATCGCTCTAGCACCCTGCCTTTGCTGAGCCATCTAACATTGTTGTGTAGCAAAAGATCATCAGAGTTTGCATCAACCTCTTTGAGAAATTCCCTGAGCATGCGATGCTGACAAGAAGAAGATGCCCTGAGAAAGTTTATGATTTTTATCATTGTCTTCATCACCTCAGCATACTCATCTGACAGGGTGGAGCAAAGGACAGCCTGATGAATAATGCAGTGGTAAGAGATCAGGTCAGCGTTGTCTTCTTTAAACCTTGCCACAGCTCCCTTTTCTCTCCCTATCATGGCAGGGGCTCCATCAGTGGTTATTGATATCACTTTTGTTGGCTCTATTCCTCGCTTTGCTGGCGTTTCCTTAATGGCCAGGTAGATGTCTTCTCCTTTGGTAGTGGTCTGCAGGGGAGTCACACCTAAGAGGTCTTCACAGAACTGATTTTTCTCCCTGTTTAAGAATCTTATGTAAACCAATAGCTGAGCATTGTCAGACACATCAGTAGATTCATCCACAGCCAGGCCAACACACAGTGCCTTACAAATAGCTTCTTCCAGCTGGGACAGTGAATCTTGAGCTAGTATCTCACTTCTCCTTGTGGCTGTGCAGGCTGACAGGGGTATTTTCTCTATTTTGTCACAGAGCTCATCTTTTTCTTTACCATCAAGTAACGCCTCTGCTATTTCAGTCATGCACTCTTTGACAATACTTGCATCTGTAAAGGGCTTTTTGTGTTTCCCTAAAACCCAAGCAACACGGAGGGAACATTCATTAGCACGCTGTTGTGCGCTGAAAGCACGGCTTAATACCCTGGTAGACTGATCATATTGGGCAGCGAGACATCGAATTTTCTGCGTCCGGAGTTCGGACTTAGGGGGGTATGATTGGTCAAATGCTTTGTGCTTAGTCTCATAGTGACGCTTGACATTGGCACTTTTAATAAGTGCCACGGTTTCGGAGCATATGAGGCACACTGGTTTCGTGCTCGCGGGTGGAAGAATGAACATGCTTGCATCATTCCATTCCGAGTTAAACGCTCGATTTTCGGCATCTACTTTTCTCTTTTTAGACAGCGCCATAGTGTTTGCACCTCTTCTTCCTGTAATTCACGCCCTGTCTTCCTGTATCACCTCCCTGCATTTCTCGCTTCAATCGCTTTTCGCTCGCCTTTCACCTCCTCTTCCTTATATCACACTGCGTGGATGTCTGTGCCTGGCTACAAACCTCTGCTTCGGTTTGCTCATACAACTCGCTCGGAGTTTAAGCTGGCGATTTGATTCGCTAGTTGAACCACGTGGTTAGTATGACTCGCACGCGATTGGTTTGTAGCTTCCAAGCCTTGCTCAGTGCAGTGCTGGTAAAAGCACTTGTGTCAGATAGGGAAAAAATGCTCCGGTTTAAAATGAATTCTCCCGTCAAAATTAACAAATATTTTAACAATTTATTCCGGGTCCGGATGGGATGGCATATGGGTCCGTATCCGGACCGAGGTCCGGTGGTTGCGGACCACGGCTATAGGGTATGGAGCTCCTTCTTTAGGAGGAAATTTTAAACAGGTTCTGGTGTCTGGCATTTCACAAAGCCATTCAATGGTGTTTTAGCAACCAATCAGAATGCCCTTAGTTCCTTATATTGGTACTTTTTTTCTGTGCACATCCTAGTGAGAGGGATGTCTTGGTTTCCCCCTAAGATCAGTAAGCTCAATTACTGGGTGTGGTGAGGTAAAAGACAGTTCCAGGAAGGGATGATGAATATATTTACTCTGGCAGATATAAAATTAACTAAAGTTTTGGAAAACAAGTGGTTTACAAATCATAACTAACAATTGATTCCTCAGGTTAAGAACATATATAAACCATATACACTGCTGAGGAAATGTTTTTTAAAATGAGTAATGAATGCTTAGTATATGTGTTTAGTTAAATTGAGATATTATTTGACACATGAAAAAGAGATACTTCAACTTCAGGACTATTTACATTCACACAAAAAAGTTGTGAGCCATCTTTTCAGTCTGCAAGAGATAAAAGAAGTCCCTTCTGTTAATATGCAGACAAACAAAAAACACAGACAGAAAAGATCAATCCATGCATCTTTTACATGCACTAACAAAAACTATTTGTCATAACCAGTGGTGAGACAAGTTGATAAAACCCAAAACCGAAGCTGCTGTATGTCGGGCCACTTTTGCATATTTTAAACAACACAATTCTCCAGACACTAAAGAAAATAGTGTTTTATTGAAACGTCTCTCTTTAAGTATAAGCATAAACAACTTGCCTTGTATAGGTACATTAACCATCCTTCATTCTAAGCAGGACTTACAGTATTTGAATGGGTAGAGGGCATGTAAAGGCAGCAGTCTGAAGTTTCTCAATACTGGACTTCACCGTGGGGCTACAGTAGCTCTGTCTTTAAACTTTTTTCCTCTTTTCTTCCATAATCTTAATGTTTCTTTCTTCAGATATTTCAGTTGTCTTTGACAGCTGATGAGGTCTAATGTCATGCTTCAATCATGATTAGTACTTAAAAGCCTATGATCTCCCAGGCGCAATGCTACAATGTGGTTGACTGAATGGAAGGAAATGATTGGTTTTAAGGACTCCTGGTGCTCTGGGACCCAGGGTTAGTGGCTGGTGCCTTTAGCTCTGAGACATGTCCATGCACAGGGAGTTAGCAAGCAATCATTACTTATTTAGCCTCTTAAGTGTTTAAAGTGAAAAAAGGTCTTTTTGGGATTTACTGTGGTGAGCAAAAAATCTCTACATCTACATTTTGTACATTTAAAAAATACTGCAAAATGACAAGATTTTTAATTAAGTTTATTGTCGACAGAGGTGTCAGATGTATTTACATTCTTTATTTAAATAAAAGCACCTATATCTTTGTAGAATATACTGTTGAAATCAGTATAGGAACTAAATTGTAATAAAGTACAGAAGTGAAAGTAATTTTAGGCCTCAAATGACACAAAATAACCTTAGAAAAACTAAAAACCTATTCTACGCAAATATATTTTTCCCTCTTTGATTAAAAAATTTATTATTTCTATTTTTATTTTCTTGAATTACTTTTTTATATGGACACTGCAATAAGATGAAAGAAAGGGAAGATAAAAGGAAGACAATTATAAAACATCTTCAGTCTACTTCATCACCTGCAAAGAGAGATAGAAAAAAAAGAACAGCACAACCAACGAATATAGTATAAGAGATACAATAAAGTGGCACCTTGATACTATCGTTGAAGTATAAGTAGTATCATTTAATCTGACATGTATACTGTGGTAGCTGAAGATAAGAATATGGGCTTTCCATATGGAAGTGAATCTTTAAGAACCTGGAACCAAGCACCTGTAATTGTTTGTGAGAGTGCACTTGTGCATGGAAAGTTTATCTAAAGAAAAATGCTTAATAGTGGTTGTGAAGAGCCAAAGACCCGCCCCCACAGAGCACCGAGGCATGCGCTGGGAAAGCCAAAACCCCAGATGCCCAAAGGGACCTCCAGTAATTTCCAAGTAATTTCTGAGCTGCGACAGTCTAAGCGGGGTCTTTTCTTATATGTATGTCTATGGTTGATCCGGGCTAACTAAAGGCTAACCATGGAGGATCAAAGTAGAATGGCGGAAGATCAGTTTTGTCTGCCAGGTGGAGAGATGTCCGAAGGCAAGGTAGTGTGACTGCGTCTTATCGTGAGTAGGACGGTGTGAAACGGTCTCCACACGGTGTGGAGGAGTCAAGGAGACAGAATAAGAAGAGATGGCACCAGGCCAAGGGTAGCATCTAGAGGCTAACTTCTTGAGAATGCCAGTCGGGTCGCTAAGGTTCAGAGGAGCCTGCGGCCGGAGTAAGTGACCTAGTGGGATGAGCAGCAACTGCTCAATGTCTTTACTGGAAGTCAGATATGAAAGGGTCTTTCTTGGGCTAAATTAAAACAGCTTTTGCTCACAAATCTCTTAAGAGCAATCCCCGCTTTATACTTGGCCAACATTATTTATGCCTTCCATCTTGATTTAGAAAAGCTTGGCTCTGCGGCCTGCTTCACTAAAACTCATGACACTTTCTCATCTCTCATAAATACATAAACTATCATAATAGAAATAGAAGAACTAAAACACCAGTTAATCAGATTTTGTGCACTAAATGGAAAGGAAAGAAGGAACAGAGCAAAGGGTGAACAACTGAACAGATTGAATGGCTAATGAAATGGGTTCCTTCAGGCTTGAATACATTCTTTGGTCTGGTGATCCTCCAAGATGCTGGCCTCCTAGGGAGATTAATGACCACTGGGCTGTAGGATAATAAAGTAGTTTGCCTTGGCAATGTGCTTATGGATTCATCACAGTGTCCACAAGTGGGCTGCCTGCGTGCAACATCTTTATTAATCCTCCTTACTCTTCTCACCCACTGCTGCTGATTTATGATTATGTTACCCCCCAAATGGTTTGGTCTCTTTCACCAGATTTCATATTGGATAACCAGTATCATCCCACAAAAATCCAGGTCACCGCTCTAATGGGAAGAAAACTGCGGGCTAATTTGATAATAGGAAAAGAAAGTACACAAGGGAGTTCTATTGACTAACTCAGAATTTTGAAATAACTTACCTTGTTAGGTTTAGTGTTTATTTTAAGTTTAAAGTTTACCTTTCATTTTTAAGGGAATTATTTACATGTATATATAAACAATATGAAAGTATGCAAGTGTAAGTATTTGACTCTTTTTTTGGTTTGCAAAATTCTTAGCGGACATTTTGGAATAAATCCATCTTCTATTCTGCAAAATATTTGAACGTACAGCTGATAAAAATAGAAGTCCAGTATAGTAGTGTGAATATTTTTCTTTATATATTTCCAGGTAAGACGACAAAACAAAGTAAAAAGGAAATTGGAAATAATCATAGTTTCAGTATAATGGTGTATACTTTATTCAGACTGAAAAATTACAGGAACAGAGTCAAATTGATGAGATCATGCTGATGTTGGAGCACAGCTAGTATGTATTCCCCTCTTAGCCTTGCCAGGGTTCTGTCAGATGAGCGTACCCGGTCAGAACAGCATACCCATAGTCAATGCCCATTTATCCCTTTAGTTTATCTCTTTAGTTTTGTACCAAAAGTAAAATTTAAAGGGATAAATGCAAATCTGACGTCTCACACATGCATATGGACTATAGGTATGCAGGTCTGATGGAGAACGCTCATCTGACAGAACACCGGATCCTCCATCACTTGTGGAATGTCTGCTCACCACAAAGCCTGGGGGAGTACTGACAGTGTCCTCCTGTGAACCCCCTTTTACACCAATACCTCAATATACAGTAGCTGTAAGATAGAAACACATTCAGTGGTCGCCTGGAACATGTCAAATATACCTGCATACAGTGGAGATAAGTTCTTGATCAGTTACGCACAAGTTACTCATAGGTTTTTGATAAGCTAGATACCACGACTTATGAGAAACTTACAATTATAGTGTGTCAACGTTTACATACCTTGCCTGCAACTTATGGCGCACATATATGTCACGGCTCACCACAGAGGACCCAGTATTCAAGGCAATACAGGCTGAGGGATTAACCACAAAGCATTTATCTAAAAATTAATTTCAAATTTGGAGTAACAGCGGTTAGGACGCTCTTACTTCTGACAGTCCACTCCTCAGGGGGAACCTGCTAGCATCTCTACTCCTCTGACAGATTAAGTTGGCTCTCCTCCTCTGACAGATTCACTTAGCGCTCCTCCATATTCAGATCCTTTAGCATTTCAATGCAGCTAGATCCTCAGAAAAATCTCTGCAGGACAGAAACAGAGATTAGTGACCACAATAATCTGATGGAGGATGACTATGAAGGTGCAAGTCACTAACCTGGTTTAACAGTTCAGTCCATAGACAGAGAACAAGGTAGTATCCAGCCAGTGGACTGCCAACAAGATGCGGCATACGCCGCCCAGATAGTTCCAGATGTTGCAGCCCCAGAAAACACACAGAATTCTGAAGCCAGGTCAAGCAAACAGATCAGAACAGGAGCAGGCAAGCTAAGAGTTCCAGAGGTCCGAAGTGAGGTCAGGCTAATGGATC